AAGGTTAAATCATGGCAACTGGACCAAAGTTTGTTAATCTGAGAAGTTGTGCTTCCCATCCAGGAAGCTTCATCAGTCAAAATAAATAAAAATAGTCAGGCAGAGAGCCAGAGAGTCGTTGGAAGGTACCAACTCTTGCCAAACCATCTGCAGGGGGTTCTCCCCAAAATCTATTGCAATGTTCATCTGCTGCTGGATGAAACGTGGAGGAAACCACACAGCCCTACTTGGTCCCGGTCCCTCCCCCGACCTGTCCTCAATTCACCTTCCAGCTGCAACTTCGAACCTGGGAAGAGCGCGAGAGCCACCGCTATCCTCTAATTAGGAAGCCGGAAGAGGAAATTTCTCTGTCCTTCTCTCCTTCACATACTCTCTAGAAATTCACGACTCTATGGTCTCAATTCCTTTCAGTTCAGCTACAGGCGTTGCTATTGTACGCTATTTGCGACTTTCCAGGCGCGCTTGTTGCCTAACCATAGAGCGCCATCTAGCGACCTGAAGCTAGATCGTCCGATCTCTAGCATCCCAAGGTGGTTGCTGGGTCCTAAAAGTTCATGAAGTTCTTGTTTTTGCGTGCAGCCCTTAAAAGATTAATAGCTTGCCATTTTCATCTTATTAATAGAACAATGTGGTACAAAACCTTGGAAGTGTCTACCCGGGTTAATGGAGAATCTCAGTCACCCAGGTATGGTTGTCCCAAAGGTGTTTTTTCAGGAGGCAACTAGAGTTTCTTGTTTTTCTTTGAAGACGTTTCGCTTCTTGGATGAGAAGCGGTCTACTCACGTTGTTTCCAACGACATCTAGATAGGAGATACTATAATCCTCTCTGTGTAGTTGGGGAATACAAATCTCACTAGAGCATCCTTCCAAATTTCCAGAGCACTACGTTTTCAGCCTTGGGAATTCCCACGCTGCTTGGGCAAAACGGTTGGAGGGCACTAGTTTCCAGATTGGAAGCTGATTTAAATATTATTGCACTTTGGCAGGGGTTGGCTGTTACTGGAGATCAAAAACTCTCTACATCCTAAAACTGTTATTACTGATTCATTTGAGAGCCAGTCAGTGGCCCAATTCAAGGTGCCGATTTTGGCTTTGAAAGCCGTTCCTGGCATGGGACTGAGATGAAGGATCACCTTTCCCTGCTTATTTCAGCCTGCCCAATTAGACCTGGCAAAGAAGACATGCTGCAGGCACCATCAGCTGAGAATCTGAATGTGGTGGGTCCCAGGAGATGTGCCTTCCCTGCTGTGGCCTCCACCATATGGAATATCCTTTCCCCTGAAATGAGACTAGTTCCACCACTTTTGACCTTCTGGTAGGCTGTCAAGGCCTGGCTACATCCTCAGGCCTGGGGCTCTAAGGCAGTGGTTCTCAACCTGTGGGTCGGGACCCCATTTGGGGTCGATCAACCATTTCACGGGGGTCGCCAAGCAAGGCTGTCCGCCATTTTTTTGTCCGCCATTTTTTCCCCCTTTTCCGGCGGGTGCCTTACCTCCCTTGGGCTGGGCCAGCTGGTGGTCGGCCTGCTCCGTCTCTGCCGCTTGCCAGCTACACCTCGGCTGGCGCAGGGGGCGGAACCACGCATGTGCAGCGCTCTCGGGCAGAGAAAGTCCTTGACTTACGACCGGTTGGGTAGTCCTCGACTTATGACCGGTTTAGTCCTCAACTTACGACCGGTTTAGTCCTCGACTTACGACCGGTTGGGGTCGCGGCATTAAAAAGGTTGAGAACCACTGCTCTAAGGCAATCTGAGAGATGCTCAGATGGCTCCATTGCTGAGGTGGCCCATTTGCATCCATTTTATTGCCTAGGGCAGTGGGGCCATCTGAGCATCTCTCAGGAAAAAAAAAAAGATCTTGTAAAGTTGGAATTGATTGATTGAACTTTTTAGTCCCACCCAGTCTGCCGTTACCACTGCAGCCACGCCCACCCAATGGGCCACGCCCACCAGGCACCCGACGATGCATAACTGGGTTTTGGGTTGCAGTTTGGGCACTCGGTCTCTAAAAGATTCGCCATCACTGGCCTGGGGCTTTGTTTTTATATTAATTCTTAGTATAGATTTTTACATTTTATATATGTCATTGTGGTTGTTATCTGATTGTTATACATCACCCACCATTGCTTTCGAAGGGAGGGGGGCTATAAAAATTTCATTTTTAAATAAATAATTTAAAAATGTAAGTTTTTGAGGATCTTTAGAGTGGCTAAATTGAAGTAGAAATAATAAAGGAGGGATACAAATAATTTTTTTTAAAAAGTAGGATTTAAACGGGGGGGGGGGGGAAATGGAAGGGGAATCAGGGTCCGATAAGAAATACCTTATCAGTTAACAATAATGTGTTAAAACTCTATTGTGTTTCTTTACCCCTACTGTGAACCCTATTTGTATCAGCAGCTTTTACTTTCCCATTTTAATTTTACTCTGTCCTCTTGAGACTTACAGGAAAAAAAGCTTTTCATTTAATCACAAAAGGAAACACATAGAATGCAGAGTGTATTCTGAATAGAATTGATGTAGCTTAACAGTACAAATATGGAGAGAAACTCAAAACTCAAGAACAGGATAAGAGCAAGGTACTGATGGTGTTTGAGCTAGGCCAGGGGTAGGCAACCTTGGCTCTTTTATGACTCGTGGACTTCAACTCCTAGAATTCCTGAGCCAGCTATGCTGGCTCAGGAATTCTGGGAGTTGAAGTCCACTAGTCATAAAAGAGCCAAGGTTGCCTACCCCTGAGCTAGGCTTATGTATCTGTATCTTCTAACAGAAAAGTCATGAGTGCAGTCTTGTAATGAAACGACATCATCCATACCCAAAAGCATGTGACACTAGAGCAGGGGTGTCAAACTCAGTTTCATTGAAGGCCGCATCAGCATTGCGGTTGCCCTCGGGGGTGTGTGGCCAGGGTGGGTGCGGCCAGAGTGGGTGTGGCCTACTGGGTGGGCATAGCCAGCTCTACATCGTTCGCATCAAGGGTACCTGTGGGGGCCTGGGCAGGAATGGGACAGATCTGAGGGTCTCTGGCAGAAGGCGGTGGAACCAGGGCAAGTGCCAAGGCATGGTCCAATGGAGGAGCCTCACCGTTCCTCTCAGGCCATGCGCAATGCCATGTGGTCTTGGTAGGCAGCGGGGCGCTCTCCTCACAGCACCGAGAAGCTGAACCAGGCAGCGCGAATCCAGAAAACGTGATGCCGCCCAACCCCCAGCCTGCCCGGTTTCAGCAGGCAGCAGGGCGCTCTCCTCACAGCGCCGAGAGGTTGAGCCGGATGGTGCGAAGCTCGCCAGCTTTGCACCTTGCTGCCTGCTGAAACTGGGCAGACTGGTGGCTAGGCAGCACTGCACTTCTCATCAGTTTCGTGCCACCTGGCTCAGCTCTTGGCACTGTGAGCAGAGCGCTCCGCTGCCTGCTGAAACTGGGCAAGCTGGGGGCTAGGTGGCGTGCTTCTTTTTGGATTTGCGCTGTCCGGCTCAGCCTCTCGGCGCTGTGAGGAGAGCACCCCACTGCCTGCCGAAACCCCTCCCCCCAGAGCCCATCAAGCCGGATATGTGAAGTAGGTGAGGGCCATTTGCTGGCCACTTCCAGGCGATGGTGCATTTCTTCATTCCTCACAAAGGGTGACACCACCCCAGCATGCACCCAGGGGGCAGGGCCGACATGGCAGGGGCTGGTTCCTCGCTGTTTCCAGACGGCCTTGTGAAGCTAAGACTGAATGCGTTTCAGCATAGATGGCCACCACAAAATTGTACATTGGCTCCCGGCCGGCCTGGGCCAGGGCCAAGGCAGCGGGGGCCATTCCCTCACTGTTTCCAAGATGGCTTCGCGGGCCACATGAAACCACTTCACGGGCCGCATCCAGCCCCCGGGCCTTGTGTTCGACATGTCTGCACTAGAGCAAGCAATAACCAGAAATAGGAAACTGATAAATATTGAGGGAAAGAACTAAGGCGGCGGGAATGAATTTGCATGGCAACTTAGAACGTCCAGGAAAAAATGTTGTGTGGAAATAATAATGAAGCGAAATCAAAAGGCAAAATTAGAATATCCTACCAAAGCACATGGCCGATTAATCACCAGGCTGAATTTTTCAGAGGGACACCCTAAACTGCCATTTTAATGGGTGGAAATATTGGCCATTTTAGCTATTGGCTCTGAGCTCTGTTGCATGGAGAAATCTGGAATCAAATAACTCCAACATAGGTGCCCAATGTTTTGCTCTTTTTAACCGTATAATTTTATACTGCTATTTATGACCTTGTAATAATCAGAGAGAAGGCATATACATTTAATAAATTAAAATGAATAAATTTTATTGATTCCCTTTTTGTTCAGGAACTCGAGACAGCATACAAAGCACTTCCTGGGTGGTATCCTGAGCCAAGGAGGCCATATTCTCATTTTGAACTCTGACCTGCACAGAGATACTTTCAGCCTCTCATTTGACATCTTAAATTAGGATTTCATGGCACCTGACAGCCACCTTCCTGTTTAACCTAGCACTGGAACGTGTGGCTTTCCATCCAGTGTCCTTGACTGTTACACTGGATTTTTTAAATATAATTTTTTATTAATTTTAAAGAGAAGATTAAAAGCAAAAACACACTAAATAGAAGAAAAAAGAAATCAAAAATGCAAAAAGAAAAAGATAAGAGAGAAGTTACTTCCAATCTCCTTTACAGTAATCATAATTAGAAATACAAAATTAGTTCTTACTCTATGGTTAAAAACTCTTTTTTCTACCTGGTTTATTTTTTATAATCACAACTGTAAATTATAACTTCATTTTTTTTCTGTTTCACGCAAATCTCTAACAAACTTCTAATCAGTAATGAATATAGAGAATATCTTTTTTCTGGTTGAGGAAGTTAATATAGTTTCTCAGAAAATTCCGTCATCTTCACCAACCATTCCTCCATTATGGTTAAAGTTGAGACTTTCCACTTTGGTGCATATAATACAGATAATCATTGACTTACTACAATGGGGGGCGAAATCCTGACCCTAGGACAGGGGTCCCCAACGACAGGGCCGTGCAAGTGGCAGGGAAGTGTGCACATGCGCATGCATCTCCACTTTCACAAGAGGCAAGGAAGCTCAGAAAGAGCTTGGATTTCTCAATTCAGATCTCCTCCATCATGTTTAATATTAAGACATGTTTGATTAAAAACAATCAGGCAAGAAATTAAAATAGTTACTTTCTCAGTTGAGCTTGCAATGAGATAAGAAATTCAAGATTCCTCTATACACGTCAAATTTTGTCTCATGTGGAATTTCTTATGTGTGATAAAGGAGGAATTTTGTGTGAAGCATTGTCCGCAATCTGGGCACTTGAATGGTTTCTCCCCTATGTGTAACCTTACATGGTTTATAAGGCTAGACTGAGTACTGAAATCTTTCCCACAATCTGGACACTCATACGGTTTCTCTCCTGTGTGAGTCCTCCAGTGTATCACCAAGTCGGAATTCCGAATGAAACTTTTCCCACACTCCAGACACTCATATGGTTTTTCTCCTGTGTGAGTTCTCTGGTGTATCACCAGAGCGGAATTCCAATGGAAACTCTTACCACACTCTAGACACTGAAATGGTTTCTCTCCTGTGTGAGTTCTCTGATGTACCACCAGGTTAGAATTGCGAAAGAAACTTTTCCCACAATCAGGACACTCATATGGTTTTTCTCCTGTGTGAGTTCTCTGGTGTTCTACCAGGTGAGAATTCCGACTGAAACTTTTTCCACAATCCAGGCACTCATATGGTTTTTCTCCTGTGTGAATCCTCTGGTGTATCACTAGGTCTGAATTCCAATTGAAACCTTTCCCACAATCTGGACACTCATATGGTTTATCTCCGGTATGAGTCTTCTGGTGTATCAGCAGGTTGGAATTCCTACTAAAAGCTTTTCCACAATCTGGACACTCATATGGTTTTTCTCCTGTGTGAGTCCTCTGATGTAACAGTAGGCTGGAATTTTCCTTGAAACTTTTCCCACATTCCAGACATTCATACGGTTTCTCACCTGTGTGAGTCCTCTGGTGTATCACCAGCTTGGAATTCTGCTGAAAACTTTTGCCACAATCCGGACACTCAAATGGCCTCTCCCCTGTGTGAGTCCTGTGGTGCATTACAAGGTTGACATTCTGACTGAAACTTTTTCCACAATACAGACACTCATATGGTTTTTCTCCTGTGTGAGTCCTTTGGTGTATTACCAGGTTGGCATTCTGACTGAATCTTTTCCCACAATACAGACACTCATATGGTTTATCTCCTGTGTGAGTCCTCTGGTGTATCACCAGATTGAAATTCTTAGTGAAACTTTTCCCACACTCTGGACACTTATATGGTTTTTCTCCCGTGTGAGTCCTCTGGTGGATCACCAGGTCAGAATTCTGGCTGAAACTTTTTCCACAATCAGGACAATCAAAGGGTTTCTCCCCAGTGTGAGTCCTCTTGTGTCTCACCAGATTGGTGTGTGTGCTAAACCTTTTGCCACACTGGGAGCACTGGTAGAGTTTCTCTCCAGTGTGGGTCCTTCCATGAGGAAGCTGTTCTGAATAAAGTGTTTGCCACATTCTGAGCATTTGTGTGCATTTTTTGTGGTTTGGATTCTCTCGTGCATAATCAGCTATGATCTGCAATCTGTATTTTTCTTACAATAAACAGACTGTGGGGTTTTTCCATCGCTGATAATCTTACATTCTTGAGGAGATCAAAAATATTTCTAATCTCTAACTGGTGTTGCTTTGAATCAAGTCCCTTTGGAATCCAGCATGCTCTTCTTGGCATCCTGTGTCTATAGTTTCATATTAATGGATTAGTTTCATTGTGATTTAAAAAATGGCTGGACAACCTGTGAAAACAGAAAAAAAAAAACCTGCGTGTATTACCACGAATAAGCAAACATATCAAAATGCTAGTTTAACCTCTAACATTAATTACAATTTATTTGGCATATAGAGAACTAGCAAGATCCAAGTTCAAATATCCATTCATATATCCAACCATGAAATTCTCCTTTTGGCTTAGGTAAGTCACAAATTATTAGCATTGCAAATTGTTATTATAAAATGTTCCTGAAAATGCTGAAGATTAGATTATACAGATGCACACAGAAATACACATCTACGAATTTATGTATGAAGAAAATCTATGTGTATTTCCGCATGCAATAAGTAACAGAAGTGGATTCACTCAGATTTTTTGATCTAATTTTAAAAAGGTGAGGTCATTAACAGATGAAATGATGCCCAAAGCCTCTGCACATTTAAAGCATCCTTTTTGCCCATGAAACTCCACACTTGCCAGGAAAACAAGCACGTTGATAATATCTCAAGGAATGAAGTGTTACGTAAAGACTGATGGAGACAGGCGGGTAGGAAATATGAAACAGAAGTAAAGACATTTTAAATTTCCCATCTCGCAGCATAAAATTACAGGCAGCAGTTTTAAATCGTGCAGCCCCAGAGGAATAAAATTTGGAAAGAGAAAGAATATGCTGCAGCAGCCGACATCTTTCAGCCTTGTCGCTTCGCTGCTCCCACACCGTGGAGGAAACCAAACAGCCCCGCTTGCTCCCGGCTTCTCCTCCGACCTGCCCTCCACTCACCTTCCAGGAGTCGCTTCGTCCCCTGAATCAGCGAAAGAAGCAACCGCGGCGCCATCATCCTCCCATAAGTGAGCCGGAAGAGGAAATTCCTCTGTTCTGCTCTCCTCTACATCCTCTCTATCAATCCAATACTCTATCGTTTCATCTCGATCCATCTCAGCCTCTACCCCTCTGGTACAATGTCAGACTAGCGATGCCGCTTCTCTACTGTATTCACTGCTTTCTAGGTTGCTTCCTTGTAGAGCGCCATCTAGCGACGTAAGGCACGCTCGATCTATTTCTACCGTAAGGCTTTTGCAAGATGTTCTCATTGATTCCGAGCTTCCTTACGTGCCGTCAAGTCGTGTTCGATTCCCACCGATAGCTTCCGTCCATGACAATCTATCCCGCAGCTTTTTTTCCCAGGTCCCCCAAGGGTGCACTCATGGCCTCTATAGCTGAGCCCGAAGCTTCGTTTGCAATAAGCAGCCACTAAACCAGGAGTAAGGAACCTTGGCTCTTTTTTGACTTGTGGACTTCAACTCCCAGAATTCCTGAGCCAGCATGGATGGTTCAGGAATTCTGGGTATTGAAGTCCACAAGTCATAAAAGAGCCAAGGTTCCCTACCCCTGCACTAAACCAAAGGAAAGTGCCTTTGGGGGAAAGGCCGGGCAGGCAACGAGAAAGGGGCCGGTGAAGATTGTTCAGCCAGTTTTTCCTCTATTGGGGTGTGTGCAGGATAAATCCTCAAAGCCTGCCTCTGCAAATGAGTTAAGCTGTAATAGTGCAGCTTGACACTACTTAGCTTCACAAATTGAGCCAGGCGCTGCGCTGTTCATGAAGTTCTTGTTTGTGTATGTAGCACTGAACAACTGCCAACTTCATCCTATTAATAGAATAATGGAATATGGGACAAAATCTTAAAGTGTCCACCCACATTGCTTCCAAACCAGATCTAGGTAGAAGATACTATCTTCCTATCTGACTCATTTTATTGTAGTGTCTAAATCTGTATTATAGTATTGCCTAGAATTGTAGATGATGTAATTTTGGAGCCACTGGATGTAATCTTTGAAAGCTTATGTAACATAGGAAATACCAGAGGACTGGAAAAGAGCTGATGTGATTCCAAACAACAATTAAGGGGGAAAATGGATCCAGGAAATTATAGACCAATCAGTTTGACAGTAATACCTGGAAAATCCTGGGAAAAATATAAATATAATATAAAAATATAAGCTATATAATCAAGCAGAGAATTTGAGAGCACCTATAAACAAGGCATGTGATTACTAGAAGAAGCCAATATGGGTTTGTTAGAAACAAATCACAACAAAAAAATCCTATTGCCTGTTTTCAGTTTAAGCAACTAAATTACTAGATCAGCAAAATGCGGTGCAGTTAGTATAGTTGGATTTCAGCAAACCATTTGACAAATCTTTATGGCAAATGAAAGGTATAAAAATGAAGGCGGAGAGTCTCAGAGCAATTCAATGCTTGTAGACCAGGCATGTCAAACTCGCGATGTCACGTGACATCGTGCGACGTATCGCGACTTACTCCCCATTGTCGGCAATGGGGTGGGCACGGTTTTGGCGTGATGCATCTGGCCCGTGGGCTAGCAGCTTGACATGCCTGTTGAACACAAGTCATGGAATTTGAGAAAAACTCAAAAATTGGAAAGAATAGAATTCTTTATTGGCCAAATGTGATTGGACACATAAGGAATTTGTCCCCTGGGCCTAAGCTTTCAGTGTACTTGCAAAGATCATAAACCATAAGATACAATCATAAATCATAAGATACAATAATTGATCACGTAATATACCAATAGGAGAAGGTAGTAGGAAAGATGAGAGGTGAGGAAGATGAGAAGATGAGAAGGATAATAGCAAGACAGCCTACTCATCTTTCGGCAGAAGACAGTGCTGTGTTTAGCAGAGTGATGGCATGGGGGAAGAAACTTATCTTTGTGTCTAGTTGTTTTGGCATGCAATGCCCTATAGCAGTGATGGCGAACCTTTTAGAGACCGAGTGCCCAACTGCAACCCAAAACCCACTTATTTATCACCGGGTGCCAGGTGGGCGTGGTCCACTGGGTGAGCGTGGCTGTGGTGGTCATGGCAGATTGGGTGGGTGTGGCCAAGGTGGGCATGATCACTTCGATGTTGCTTGTGGGGAGGGACGCCTGTGGGGGCCGGACAGGGTTGGGGGAGATCCAGGGGGTCTCTGGCAGGTGAGGCGGTGGGCAGAAGGCTTGTCCTGCGGGGTGAGGTGAGGCAGGACAGGGGTGCCATTATCACAGGGCAAGGTGAGGCAGGGGCCGGGGCGGCTGCTGCCTGACACCATCGGCCCCTGCACACAGAGGTCAGCAAGCACATGGGTGCTGGGATGCATCCAGCCATGTGGGACCTCAGCGAGTTAGTGGGCGGTTGGTTGAAGAGAGACAGTTGCCACCTCTGGGGCATGGCATGCGTGCCCACAGAGAGGGCTCTGAGTGCCACCTCTGGCATGTGTGCCATAGGTTCGCCACCACTGCCCTATAGCACCGTCCTGAGGGGAGAATTTGAAATGGAATAACCAGAAGCAAAATGGGCTAGATAGATTTCCAAACAGAAACACTCCATCCGACATTTTATTCCAACAATTCAAGCCTGTTTGGAGCCCAACTGTTAAGATTTTTTAATTTAAAAGCTGGAACAGTAAAGTGCCTAGGGCCAGAACACACCATTGTAGTTGATTGGTTGGAGAGTGCGGGCTCCTGCATGAGGTAATCTACATTATGATTGGCTGCGGAGTGTAAAGGGGGAAGTTTCCCTTTTTCTTGCCTTTTTCTGATGATTTACCTCATGATGTAGTGATGTGCCTATCTTGCTTGCTGTAAATATAGATATTAAATATATGACTAGTAATTAGAGTAAAAATCCGACTCTTGGGTATATCCATATTAAAACCAATAAATAATGCTGATCACCAAGAGAGTAAGTAAAAATATTTAATAGACTAAACCTAGCTTTCGTTGGGCACTCCCGACATCGTCAGGGTTCAAAGAAGGCGGTTCCTGGGAGGGAACTTACATACAGCCTCTAATTGCCTGTATCCGGCTACGTGAACGTGTAACAGGGCCCAGCTGTCTATGTTCTTGCACTCCAAGTACGTTTCTTCCCCCCGTGTGCAGTCCTTTCGCATCCTTTCTCTGTTTTCGCGAAGAAGGAACCGCCTTCTTTGAACCCTGACGATGTCGGGAGTGCCCGACGAAAGCTAGGTTTAGTCTATTAAATATTTTTACTTACTCTCTTGGTGATCAGCATTATTTATTGGTTTTAATATATTAAATATATTTATTTATACAAGTTTGTGTCAGCGTCTCTGACTTAATTTGGGCACTGGCTGTGCAATTCCCTGACACCAACCAACCCAGCTATCGTGCACTTACCAGTCTGTATTCCCAAAACGCAGGGCATGCAGTTATTAGAGGTCCCAGACCTGTCAACAGACCCGGAATTCTTTTATCTTTTTTCATATGTCACAGGAAAATCCATTCCCACTTTGGAAAGCCGGATAGAGATCTTCTTCTTCCATGACTTGAAGGAGGTACATTATACAAAACTGAGAACCAGGATGGTGTGATTTGATAAGCACAGTGGTTTGACTTACACTAAGAAGATTCAATTACGAACTGCAGGCCGGTATTGAGCAAGTAGGATCTACCTTGCTCTCTCATTTGACAAAAGTGTTAGCAAGGAATAAAACAAAGAAGTACGATGTATGACTCAAATTGTTCTAGAAAATAAGCTACACAAAGTTCAAAAAGTCTGGAAGACGAGCAAATGCAAAAGAAATGAAATGAAATATTTGACCTGCAGATGAGAAAACTTTGCAGAATACTTTAAAATTATACTGTAGAACAGACAACAAACATTACTTAGGATTTTCTGTGGGGGAAAAAAAACTTTCTAGAAATATTTAAAACACAATCATTAAAA